ATCTTCTGGAACAGTCTTGACTCGAAGTTCCTTCCTTGGTCAGTGTGAAGCTCTAAGGGAATTCCAAATCTACTGAAGACATTATGACTAATACTTCAGCTACAGTCGATGCTTCTTGGTTTGGAATGGCAAAAACTTCTGGCCATTTACTGAAATAATCCATCGCCACTAAAACGTACTTGTTGCCCTTGTGCGTTTCAGGGAATGGGCCTGCAATGTCAACAGCGATTCTTTCGAATGGCAGTCCAACGTTATATTGTTTCATTTTTCCCCTAGATCGAGTGCTTGGTCCTTGGCTGGCTGCACAAATTTTACATTGTCGACACCATTTCTTGACATCTTCGCAATAATCCACCCAGTAAAAGCGATCTCTCAGCTTGCTCAAGGTCTTGTTTACCCCAAGATGGGCTCCAGTTTTACCACCGTGAATTTCTTCCAATACCTGGGTAACTTTCTTCCTTGGTACCAGTAACTGAGTTGTTACTGTGCTGCCATCCGCACTTTCCCATGTGCGCTTTAACAATCCATTCTCAATAACCAGTGAATTCCACTGAGCCCAGAGAGCTTTGAAAACGAGCCCTCTGTCCGCAATATCCTGCCACGGTGGTCTCTCGCCGTTACCTTCCTTGAGCCGTAGTATTGCTCCGATGTCTGGATCTTCCATTTGATCTTTCCTCAATTGTGTCGTCGTCCACTGTTCATCGGTTCCAAGTTTAAAACTCCTTATCATGACAGTGCCTTCACGTTGTTCCGTTTTACAGCAGTGCTTACAATCGGTTTGACAGGGTCTTCTGGATAAACCGTCTGCGTTACCATGCATTTTTCCAGCACGATGTTGGATGGTAAAGTGATACTGTTGGAGCTTCTCGAGCCATCGTGCTATTTGACCTTCAGGTTGTTTCATCTCCATAAGCCACTTGAGAGCCGCATGATCTGTCCTAATTAAAAATTCTTGGCCGTACAGATATTTATGAAAATGATCAACTGCCTTCACAATTGCTAGCAGCTCCTTCCGGGTAACGCAGTAATTCCTTTCTGGTTTGGATAGAACTCGACTGTAATATTCTATCACTCGTTCTTCGCCATCTTGCACTTGTGATAGCACTGCACCTATGCCGATATTGCTGGCGTCGGTATCCAGGATATACCTCCCTTGTTGTTGCGGGTAGGCTAGAATAGACTTGAACATAAAGCCGCCTTAAGTCTTCCAAAGGCTACATCACAATCGGTGTTCCATTCGTAGCCGACTTCATCACCTGTAAGTCTATGTAAGGGTGCAGCTATATTGGCAAATCCCTTGACAAATCTTCTGTAATAGGTGCATAAACCCAGAAAACTTCTAAGTTCATGTTTGTCGCGAGGTTTAGGCCAATCCTTGATCGCAGCGATTTTCTTCTGGTCGGTGTAAATTCCGTCTGCCGAGACTACATGACCCAAGAATTCCACTTGTCGCTGGAATAAGCTACACTTCTTCGGGTTCAAGTACAGGTGAGCATTCCGTATGCGGCCAAAGACTTCTTCTAAATTCGCAAATGCTCCTCAAAAGTTCTTCCCATAACCAATACATCGTCGAGGTAAACCAAGCACGTTTTCCAAGTTAATCCTCTTAACACCACCTCCATGAGACGTTCGAAAGTGGCTGGAGCATTGCATAATCCAAACGGCATGACCTTGAATTGGTATAGTCCGTTTCCTGTAGAAAAAGCCGTCTTTTCTTTGTCTTCCTCGTCCAGACCAACTTGCCAGTATCCACTCTTTAAGTCGAGAGTGGAGAACCAGCACGAACCTGCCAGTGTGGTTAACGTGTCGTCTATACGTGGCAGTGGGTAGCTGTCCTTCTTAGTGACGTCATTGAGCTTCCGATAGTCCACGCAGAATCGTGTACTACCATCTTTCTTCGTCACCAAAACAACAGGAGATGACCATGGACTCGATGATTCTTCGATAACTCCATCTTCTAGCATCTTATCTACCATTGTCTCCATTTCTTGTTGTTTGGAAAGGGGCACCCTTCTAGGACGTTGTCGAATCGGCTGAGCATGACCAGTATTAATCCGGTGCTTCACAAAATCCGTTCTTCCACTGTTATTTTTCTCAAAAATACTGCCATGCTTTCGCAGGAACTGCTTAGCCTTCTGTTTCTCCTCAGATGTTAGGTGATCCCATGGCTGTTCTAGATGTTTTAGTGTTTCTTTGGATGCCATTTGTGTAACAGCTGACGACACTTCATCACATCGGGTGACACTTCTTACAGGTTCGCAGATGGCTATCTTGTCACCTTTTTGAATCTTGACACAATTCGGGAAAACATTCGCAATTCTGATCGGTATATTCTTGTCGGTGTTCACCAATGACTTTCCTACTAAGTACCTATCTTGTTTCTTGTCGCCACTTTTTACCAGTCCAACACAGCACCCAGCGATTTTCTCCACTTTACCGAATACGATCTTCTCGGTATTACCAGGTATCACCACAGTTTCCGCTGATCTTACATCCATTCTGCCTGGTCCCTCGTCTGGAGATAACATGAACTCTTCATATCCAATATTTAAGATATTTCTCTGGTGATCGAACGAAAATCCATGTTGACGAATCATATCCATGCCCAAGATGAAGTCATCTTCAATATCTGCCACTAAGACGCTATGCTGAAACTTCAAATTTCCTAACTTCAGTTCGACGATAGCCTTTCCCCGTGCAACGGCCATTTCCCCCGTAACTGTACGTAAACACACTCTTCTTCCCAGAGACATCAGCTTCAATCCTTGCACTGAGTTAGCCCGCACCAACGATACCATAGCGCCAGTATCCACAGTCATTCGAATTCCCTTTCCATTGACTTTCCCGTCGATCACCAAGCTGTCAGCGGTTGTTCCTAGACTCCTAATGGAAAAAATCCTGGGGGCTCTGTTCTCCCCAGTCAATACTCGCCCCTTAGTATTGACTGATTTTAGTTTTCCTGGTGCCTACGTTCTCTGGATGCTGAACGGGATCGCATGAACGCGGCAATCCCGTTTGATGTGGCCATTCCTGCCACATCTATAGCACCTTATGTCCTGGGATCTTCTCTGGTTCTCTGTCTGGTTATTGTTGATTCCCTTGTTTATTAGTAGCTCACATAGTTTGTCGAATTTTCTACACATCTCCTCCAAACTTCTGTGGGTACTCTCGGGCTGTTCCTCTACCGTTACCGATCTTATCTTCGGCCTAGGGATGGCGCTAAAGGCAGCTTCGATTTCCAGCGCCCTGACCAGTGCTTCGCTGCTGGTGGAAAATCGGGATATTTGCAGCGCCCTCTGTAATTCGTTGTCCCTCAGTCCGCTGATAAAGCACTGAGCAGCGAGTTCCTCCCTAAATCCTTCCGGTGCTTCTGGATATGCCAGGTGTACCAGCCGACGTAAGTCTGCTTCAAATTCCTGCAGACTCTCTCCGGACCTCTGCAGGCGTGTCTTGATCTGTGCCTGGTAAAGTTGGCGTCGATGTTGGTCGCCATATCTTCTGTCCAGTGCAGCGACCAAAGTTTGATATTCCTGCTGTTGGGCTGCAGGAATAGTTTGCAGGAGTTCCAGGGCAGGGCCACGCAGCGCGATGACAAGTGCCGCTGCTTTCTCCTGGTCAGTCCATCCATTGGCAGCAGCCGCTGCTTCAAACTGGCGGTGGTACATCGTCCAGGTGGTTTGTCCATCGTAGGTCGGGGGCCTTAAGGTTCGCAGTTCCAGGAACGCCAGGTGTCCTTACTTGTACCTTGGTCTTGTGTAGGTCCATCTCTAATTTTTCCATTTTCTGCTGAAGGCGTTCCTCCAGATCTTCTACGGCTTCTTGAAGGTGGATTTCTTGCCTTCTTTCTAGTTCTTCAAAGTTCTTCTTAAGACGGTTTTGATCTTCTTGTCTTTCTTTCTGGCGGTGCGTCTCTATATCTTCTAAAATTTCCCTCCATTCATTCTTCTGACGGATTTCTAAATTGCCTAAAATTTTCTCAAGCCGGTCCTGTTCTTCTTGTTTTTCTTGTTGTCGTTGTAATTTTTCCTCTTCCTTATCTTTACGTAGTCTTTCTTGTTCTTCTTGTTTTTCTTGTTGTCGTTGAATTTTCAAATCTTCAAAAATTTTGTCAAGCCGGTCCTGTTCTTGTTGACGTCGTAGTTTTTCCTCTTCCTTTTCTCTTTCTAATCGGGCTCGCTCTTCTTCTCGTTCTTTACGGAGTCTTTCTTGATCTTCTGCTTTTTCTTTTCGCAGCCTCTCTTGTCTTCTGCCTTCTCTCTTCTCATATTCTCCATAAAATCGCCCAATAATTTGCTTACTTCTTCCATTTTCTTCGCTTGTTCTCTTGTACCAACCATAAAAATACTCTAATTGGGTCTAAAAATCTTCCAATCCACTTAATTTCTTCTTAAAATCCTCTTGAATCGCACTTCCGACACCAATTGTTACGGATTCCGTGGGTCCACTAATTTAAACTCACAATAAAATACTTAACGAATTTATTTTTCTCACTTTATACACAATTACTAACTTATAACACACAACAAACTAACTATTTATAAGATTCCTTCACCAAATTGTCCGATTTTCAATTTCCACGCGGTATATTCAAATTTCAAAAACTCTCTCAGTTGTCGATGGCTCCGGCTTATATACTCTATTGACTGCTTCTCGAAATTTCCCCAATTCTCGGAAAGCGTACTTCTTCATACCAGACAATTCCATTGTCTGATTCCCTTACTTCTCAACTTGACTAAAAGATGGCGCCTGAAAAAGTCTTTTAATTTCTGGCGGATACGTTGCGGTTGTGCAGGCAACCAGTAATACATTTTTAATTTCTGGCAGATACGCCATTTTTCTTGACACTATTATAATGAGAACAAAATGCATAATATTTTGCCAGTCTATATGTGCATCAACAATAATTAAAATAATGCTGTATAAAATTAGAAATTAGCTGTGTAAACAAGATTTTCTATTAAGCATGTAAAAAGGTGGTATATGTTTTGCAGTTGTTTTACCTTAATTTAAGTCTGTCTGCAATAATTCTAATTCTTGAAAGACTCTTCTTTTAAAGAACTTAATTGAATACTTCTGTAACGGCTTCTTCCAGTTTGATTTAGTAATGTTATAGAATCTGAAACAAAATATAATTATTAAATATCAACAGCAGTATCAATGTATTTAACAATCTACTAAATCAAGTTGCAAAAGACTTGAACCATTATTTAAAAATATTGGTATTCAATAATGGCATAAGTTTTCAATTTTATTCTTTGAGATGCTTCATAGACTATACCGGGTGCGTCTCAAAAGTGGTTCATCCCTATAACTTTTTTATTTTTTCAGATAAAAAAACGAGATTTGGTATGTTAGTATATGACATAAATTAGGACCGATTGACGTATTCAGTTCTTTTCGGACACTTCCTGTTTCACCGGAAATGACTACAACTTTTGATTTCTAAATGCCATAGAAAATGACACTCTAAATATAATGACATATCATAATATCATCAATTTAATCATGTCAACTTTTGACATTTTGGCTTAAAACAAAATTGTATTTTAAATTTCAATCTAGAGTGCCATGGCTGTATTAAAAATACTATAGAGAAAAATACTAATTTTTAATCCAGGAGCCTTGGAAAAATAGATTTGATCGTCTAATGTTCTTAGTGTCTTATCCTGGTAAAGATGCGCAAATCGTATCTCGATTTTTAATCATATCTCAATTTTTTCAAATGGAACGAGGATGGCTCATTAGCATATTTGGAAAAGGCATTTTTTACGAATAATTTGGTACCACACACTTGGTATTTCGAGTCAAATTGTCGTTATGATTCTCATGTGGCAATGTCAAATAAACCAATGTCAAAAGTTGACATACGATGTCGTTCTATTCAGAGTGTCATTTACTATCAAATAAAGTAACAAAATACAGAGGGTGCCATTTAAAAATCAAAAGTTGTAGTCATTTCCGGTGAAACAGGAAGTGACTAAAAACAATTGAATACGTCAATTAATCCTAATTTATGTAAAATACGAACATACCAATTTTCGACAAAAATAAAAAAGTTATAGGGGTGAGCCACTTTTTAGATGCACCCGATATATATCTTGTCTATGAAATGCTTAAATTATTTTTGTCGAATTAATTTTTTTTAAATACTATATTATGTTTGTTTTATATATAATTTTTTTATTAATACAAATTTATCGTTGGGTAATTAAATTAGAAAAGTAATTAGATATTATAAAAAAAAGATCCTAAAATCAACGAAAAAAATATAAAAATATAAGAGAATGAGAAAAAGATTTTTTTTTCACAATAACTAACTAATAAAAAGATGCAAAATATTGAAGAAATAGACAAAAAAAGTATTTAAAAAATATAAAATAAAGTTATATATATTATATATAAAAGAAGAAAAATATTAAACGGCTCAGCCCTCAACAACTCGTAACCGCATACATCAGTGTACACCAGTGCAGACACGCACACTCACACAACCACACACCTACACTAGTGCACACCGATGTTACTGCCTTCAGGCTTCATCAGTACGGTAAGGAACCAGGAAGCGATGAAACCGATCCCAAAACACAAAAAACCAGGAAGCAAACGATGCAACGAGGCACCGTGTGCAACCCAGGAGATGGAAAAAAAAATTGGTGAAGAAACGAAAATAAATGATGGAAAATAAAATAAATGGTGCGTGTCTGCACTGGTGTACACTGATGTATGCGATTGCGAGTTGTTGAGGGCTGAGCCGTTTAATATTTTTCTTCTTTTTTATACATTTCCCTCACTATTTCTTATTATATATATTATAACGAATATATATATATATATATATATATATATATATATATATATATATATATATATATATATATATATATATATATATATATATATATATATATATATATATATATCTATATTCGTTTTTATTTGAAGAAATGCAAAACTATTTTATAGACTGATTTCTCTCAGTATCTACTATGCTATGAGTCAATAACCAAAAATGAAGAAGTTGTATTCAGCATGGCTGATTATACTTTTTGTATACTTAGTATGACATGGCTTAGTATACTGAGTATCACAAACACTTAATTTTTAATATAATCATAATATTGGACACCTATGTAAAAAAAAATTACAAAATATCGTTTTCCCAAATAGAAATATAAATTTAATGAGAATTTTTTAATAGGAATTACTCTATACCTGACTTGGTAGCTCATATATTTTGAACTAAAATAGATAGCATGTAATGCATATAAAGAGTAATGCTAATAATTTTTGTATAAATGAGTTTATAATTAAGTAGCACTAAGCAGTACCATTTAAGTAGCAATTCAATTTATTTCAAAACTTTTTAGAAAATTTTAAAGTTTACATTTCATTAAATTTTGAATAGGTATTTATGTTTTATATTAAAATAAAACAGACTAAAATATAAATAAAAAATATCTAAACACATTGTACTTTCTATGACTAAGAATAAAAAATACAAAAAATGGATTGGCAAAATTTTCGAAAAATTTCGCCAACTTAATAAAATTGTTGAGCAGTAAATTAATAGGAATAAAAATCTTATTCGGTTACCTAAAGTATTTAATATCTATTTAAAATCTTGGCATGAACTGACTATACGACATTGAAAATCTCAACTCATCTTAACATGACATTGAGAAATAACAAAACGATATTTATAAACATTTTTAGAAGAAAACCGACCCAAATACACCATTAAAAGTATTCAAGTTTCATACCTAGACAGAATATCTATTAAACTGTTAATAATATGATTTAGAAGCGAATAAATTAATATACAGGGTGCAACAAATTCGAGGTACGAACATTGGTCTCGTAATAGATACGAACCGTAATAGATAACCATAATAGATACGAACATGGTTAAATTGGGGCAAAGTTGCGCTTTGGGATGTTCACCTAGATGCCAGCAGTCAAATTTCAAAGATTGCTGAGTTTTTTGAAAAAAAAACGGATTTTTTTGAAAATCAATTTTATTTTTTCCTGTCGTTATTTTTAGAAAATCAAAAAGCTAATTGCACATTCTCATAGCCACTTTATTAGGGCTATGTGATTGTATATTTAGATTTTCAAATTAGCTGATAATTTGTGAGATACAGAGGCCAACTTAATTTTTTTAAATACGAATCTGTATTTTTTACTTAAGATTTTGAAAGAACTCGGTCTCCTAAGTACAATGATATGCTACACTTAATATTTTTTTTTGTTTTGTGGTCATTTAAACACAATTTATTTAAAATAATTTCAAGTTTATATAGCCCTAATAAAGCGGCTATGAGAATGGGCAATTAGTTTTTTGATTTTCTAAAAAGTAGAATGTAGCATGGAGAATGTTTAGGAGAGGAGTTAATCACCGCGACCTTACAGATCTATTGTGTGTTCCCCTTTCTTGAGTTATAACGAGTTATAACTCATCATACAGTCTCAGCCAAACTTTTTAAACAAAAGCCAATATCTGAGACGGCTCAACAGAGGCCAGCCCTCCCTCCTCGACATCAGCCGTACCAAAGTTCATGGCACGAACGGTCGTCGTCTCGGCGCACTCAGTGATAAGGTGTTCTCGTGTTTCCCCATTTTCCTCACGTGGTGTTTCTTAACTTCAGCCTACTGAGGTGTTCGTTGAGGAGATAGTGTCTTGTTAGAAACCCCGTGACAATCCGAAGATTGTGCTTACTTAAATCAAGGAAAACCTTTGATGAGGTCTGAGGAACTTTTTCGAGTGTCTTAGACCATTGGAGGACGCCCATTCCAGGTTACGGATGGAGTCTTCCAGATTCTTTGTTTCGGCCATTTAAACACAATTTATTTAAAATAATTTCAAGTTTATAGATAGCCCTAATAAAGTGGCTATGAGAATGTGCAATTAGTTTTTTGATTTTCTGAAAAGTAACGACAGATAAAAATAATAATTAATTTTCAAAAAAATCCCCATTTTCCAAAAAACTCTGCAATCTTTTAAATTTAAAAAAAAATTGATGGCATCTTAGTGAACATCCCAAAGTGCAACTTTGCACCAATTTAACTATATTCGTATCTATTACAGTTATCGAGATACCAATGCTCGTACCCCGAATTTGTAGCACCCTGTATACAGGGTGAGTCTTAAATAAGTGCAAATATTTTTAGGGCTGGTAGATCTCGATAAAAAGAAACATATTTTCTCTTTACCGTTTTTCTAATAAATCCAAAATAACCAAGTTATTTTATTTTGAAATTCACAAAAAAAGTATTTTTTTGCTAAAATTTTGAGAACCACTGGATCTTTCTGAATTTTATTTCTTGTAAATTTAATCTACTTCCTATGTTTCCATATTATCAACAAATTATGTTTTTTACTAAAAACTAAAAAAAATTCCACAGCTTTTTTCAATAAATTCCAAATTTCAAAAAAAAAATTTGTGAAAAACACCTCATAATCGTTTTTCTGGGGTCCAAATATACTACCCCTAAAACACTAATTTAAGACTCACTCTGTATAGTGAGTCTTAAATAAGTGCAAATATGTTCGGGGTTAGTAGATAAGAAAGTCCAAAATAGCCCAGTTTATTTACTTTAAAATTAAAAAAAATATATATTTTTTGCATAAATTTTGAAACCTTCTGGATTTAATTTTTTCTATTTTTTCGTTCTTCTAAAATTATTCTACGACTTGTGCTGCATCGTTTTTATTAACTTTTTTAACCGAAAATATAAAAATTTTCAACTTCAAAAATACAAACGTTATAGACGTTTTTCCGGGGTCGAAATATAACACTCCTAAAAATATTTGCACTTATTTAAGACTCACAATTAATAAAATTAAAATAATAATATTATTTCTTTTATAAAAAACTCACTTTGTTTCTGTACTTTTTTAAAGTTTCCTATAAATTTAAAAACACTTAATATCAACTTGATATAACCCAAGAAAACACTGGAAACTATATATTACACACTCTATAAACTCTTGTCACACAATCTACCAAAAAACAGAAGAAATACACGAACATACTCTATTCTTGAACACTTTATATAACTTCTTCGTGTAATTATTTAAGACAAACTAACCGTATTCGAAGCTATACTTAATGAAAT